CTTGGTCAACATATAATAGGATAATACCACAGGACTGGCGGGACCTTGCACAAGGTGTTCTGGAACCCAGCCAGAGACTTCAATTTCTGACTTGGTTTAAGGAGGAGGCTAAAAATATAGAAAAACAATGGAGGGATAAAGGAATACAAGTTTGCCAGGATCAGCTTATGGGAGAAGGTCAATATGCTTCAGCACAAACACACATTGTGTTTATGTACCACATTTTCTTTATCCATTCTTCAGTTGAAGGGCATCTAGGTTGTTTCCAGGTTCTTGCTATTACAAAAAATGCTGCTATGAACATAATTGAGCATGTGTCCTTGTGGCATGATTGAGCATTCCTTGGGTATATGCCCAGGAGTGGTATAGCTGGGTCTTGAGGGAGATTGATTCCCAATTTTCTGAGAAACTGCCATACTGATTTCCAGAGTGGCTGTATAAGTTTGCATTCCCACTAACAGTGGAGGAGTGCTTCCCTTGCTCCACATCCTCACCAACATAAGGTATCTTCAGTGTTTTTTTATCTTAGCCATTCTGACAGGTGTAAAATGGTATCTCAGAGTCGTTTTGATTTGCACTTCCCTGATGACTAAGGATGTTAAGCAATTCCTTAAATGTCTGTCAGCCATTTGAGATTCTTCCATTGAGAATTCTCTGTATAGCTCTATAGCTCATTTTTTTTTTAATTGGACTGTTAGGTATTTTGATGTCTAGTTTCTTTGGTTCTTTATATATTCTGGATATCAGCCCTCTGTCAGATGTGGGTTTGGTGAAAATCTTTTCTCATTCTGTAGGCTGTTGTTTTGTCTTATTGACCATGTCCTTTGCCCTGCAAAAGCTTCTCAGTTTTAAGAGGTCCCATTTATTAATTGTTGCTCTCAGTATCTGTGATACTGGTGATATATTTAGGAAGTGATCTCCAGTGCCAATGTGTTCAAGACTACTTCCTACTTTCTTATCTATCAGGTTCAGTGTAACTGAATTTATGTTGAGATCTCTGATTCACTTGTACTTAAGTTTTGTGCATGGTAACAGATATAGATCTCGTCTACATGTTGACATTTAATTATGTCAAGACCATTTGTTGAACATGCTTTCTTTTTTCCAGTGTACAGTTTTTGCTTCTTTGTCAAAAATTAGGTGTTCATAAATATGCAGATTAATGTGAGTGTCTTCAGTTTGGTTTCATTGGTCAACATGTTGGTTTTTATCATAACTTATTATAGGAGGGAATGGGGGTTGAGGTAGGAGTGAGGTTGTAAGGGTGGAAGGAGGGAAGAGAGGGGGACATGTGGTTGGTATGTAAAATGAATAAATATCCTTGATAAAAAATAACAAAAAAACCAATAAAATAAGTGTGTCACTTAAAATGATATATTGTTTATGCAACAATCAGGCTTCATGTAATTAATAGTATTATTGAATATAGTTCCCTCTAATGAGAAGTGCTAATTCCCACCCAGAACCTGATATAGGAATTTCCATTTATATTTCAAATTTAAATTCCCTTTAGTTGTCTACCATCCTTCTTTCTGTTCACCAAAGCTTTATAAACATTTTGATATATTACTAAAGTATGGTTTAATTTTTATAAATATTTCTTTTAATCATTATATTCCAATAAGATAGTAAAGAAATTATAATATTGTCTAGTTTGACTATCTTGTTTTTTGAAAATACATATATATATATATATATATTGAATTCTTTATCAACTTCAGCCCTCATGTCTCTCTCTAATTTCTTTATCCTACTAAAAATTTTGCCTTCTTTACATTTGAATTTTTATATTTTTCTTTGGCACAGAGTTTTATTATACTTCCTTGAAAGACACTGTGTGTGGGACTTATTTACTAGAACATGGGTATCTAAGTAGTGACTATACTCCTGCATAAAATAACACTCCTTAGCTGAGCCCTGCATGTATTAAGTGTGCAAAGACACTCATTGATGGGTGTAGCCTTATGAGCTTCACTCCCATGCATGAAGACATAATAAGTATATCACTTTTAGGAAGGTAGTCACAGCTACATAGGTTCATGAGTAAAAGTCCTTTTTTACCTCCAGAAAACAATATTTTGCTATACTTCTCCACAAAGTCTAGCTCTTACACTCTTTGTCTCCACTCAGGGAAAGCTTCCCTAAACCATGATGGATATGATTTTAAAAATTAAACTTTTAAAATATTATTTTTACTCTTTTAAATTATGTATATATACATATATATGTATGCATGGTGTGTGTGTTTGTGTGTGTGTGTATTTTCCTGATCACAGGTTTCTTGTGGAGGCCAGAGGAGTTGAATCTTCTGAAGCTGAAGTTACAGGCTGTTGTGAATTATTCTTATGTAGCTAGAGTTTTCCTGCCTTGCCCACAGTCAGGACAAATCTTTGTCACATGCCAGTCCCACAGCCGCTTAGACCCAACCAAGTAAACACAGAGACTTATATTGCTTACAAACTATATGGCCGTGGCAGGCTTCTTGCTAACTGTTCTTACAGCTTAAATTAATGCATTTCCATAAATCTATACCTTGCCACGTGGCTTGTGGCTAACCGGCATCTTCACATGCTGCTTGTCATGGCAGTAGCTGGCAGTGACTCCTTCTGCCTTCCTGTTCTTTCTTTTCCCCTCTCTGTTAGTCCCGCCTATACTTCCTGCCTAGCCACTAGCCAATTAGTGTTTTATTTATTGACCAATTAGAGTAATTTGACATACAGACCATCCCACAGCAGTCTTAGTCACTGTTCTTTTGCTGTAGAGAGACATTATAAACACACAACGCTGAAAAAAAGAAGCACTTAATCAGCTGTTTGCTTACAATTTCAGAAATTCAGTTCATGATCATCATGGTTGGAACATGGAGACATACAGGAGCCATAACTAAAAGCTAAATAATGATCCATAGGCAAAGAAGCAAGGGGACAACACTGGCATTTGAAATTTCAAAGCCAATCTCAAGTGATACACTTCTTCCAACACAATCACTTCAAATTCCTAATCTTAATCATTTAAAAAATGTCCATTTTTGCCGGGCGGTGGTGGCGCACGCCTTTAATCCCAGCACTCGGGAGGCAGAGCCAGGTGGATCTCTGTGAGTTCGAGGCCA